CGCTATTGGTTTAGCCCTCGCACTGAGTATTATTCACATTGGCCCCGCGCGGGGGAAGGGGTCTTCAGGGGCCCAAAATTCTTGATAATTAAAAAAGCGAAAGCCACGGAAAATCGCTTTTGGAAAGCTCTCATCAGCTTACACCATACAGGTGTGCAAATTTTTAATATCACACGATCCGCTATTCATTTGTCTACAGCTATGCAAAATTTGGCGCGGCCACGCAGCGCGGCTCGGAAACCATTCCGGAAAACCCCTCGGGGTCAATTTGATCCCTCGAAGGCGTGTTAATGTCGTCGTGATGGATCAGGCAGACAAGCGACCATTTGTGTTGATATCGGCCAAAATCATAGTAAAAACCAAGGCTACAGAAACAATGTAAAGACGGCAAAGACGTCCCTGAACATAGTGATGCTAGATTTGGTTGGGCCAATACTTTCCAATGATGCATACATTCAATGTGCGTTTGTTTGACAGTGACTAGACCAGAGCGCACTCGTAACCGGGTTGTTCCGGCAACGCTTGAGCTCCTCAGCTGACTGAAATAAGCCTAAACAGGCTCAGACAAGTTATGATATATGCATATATATATATATATATATATATATATATATATATATAGTATATACCTATTATATAGTATATATATATATATATATATATATATATATTGTATATACCTATTATGTAGTATATATATTATATACTGAAATGAGCCAAAATAAGCTTGAATCAGTCTTCTTGCGAGGTGGAACCGGCTTACTACCTTCAGGCCCAAACTGAAAGGCACCAAAATGCAGCCATGGTTTGTTATGCGCGGTCGCATCAGCCAATGCTAAATGCAGCTTCTGCATATTGTGACTTTGGACTCATCTTAGTTTCAGATGCAAGGGCTAAGAAGTACAGTGGTTTACGCATCTCCTCTCATTGACATTCTGTAACGTTGTCTAGCTTGCTTTTTGGAGTAGCGATAAGACATAAGTCATTGAACCCCGTAACTGTACTCTGGATTTTCGAACCTGCCGTGAACGGAACAATAAAATCGAGTGTTATATGATTTGCAGTATAGATTATCACGCAAGGCATCGCACTAGTGCAAACCTTTGCAGTGGAATCAGCCATGCCGCGTTCTAGAGTTTGTCGCTGTCGGGTCTCGCTGGATGACACTAAACATCGCATTCCTAAAACGTAAAGTTTCATTGCTATTTACAGAATGGACTCTTGATAGCTGTGCTTCACAAACAAGAGAGTAAATATTAGAAGATGCCCGCATGTGCAAGCTTAATTGGCATGCCTCAGTGGTGCAGACAGAGGGAGGGGGAGGGGGGGGGGGGCGCAGGCCACAAGGGAAACCGCAACCAAACCGAAAGCATGTCCGGCAAAAATAAGGGGTCTTATGGGTAAAAGCTGAGGTAGCTGATATAACTCAAGAACATGAAAAAATAAATTCATGTTTGCCTGACAACGTCCATTATTTTGCAAAATCGGCTCGCGCGACAGATCACATGAAAACCTTTTGAGCATGCGCGCCTGCAGTCTCAGGAGCAAGAAGGCCGCGCCTGCAGTCTCAGGAGCAAGAAGGCCGCGGCTGTAGTCTCAGGAGCAAGAAGGCCGCGGCTGCAGTCTCAGGAGCAAGAAGGCCGCGGCTGCGGTCTAAGGAGCAAGAAGGCAGCGGCTGCAGTCTCAGGAGCAAGAAGGCCGCGGCTGCAGTCTCAGGAGCAAGAAGGCCGCGGCTGCAGTCTCAGGAGCAAGAAGGCCGCGGCTGTAGTCTCAGGAGCAAGAAGGCCGCGGCTGCAGTCTCAGGAGCAAGAAGGCCGCGGCTGCGGTCTCAGGAGCAAGAAGGCCGCGGCTGCAGTCTTTATGTAATGACATTGGCCACTGCAAGCAACCTCACGCGGTAATCTCTTCTGTTAAAAAATTAGACCGACGCGTGTCTTTTTTTAATCATCAGGCTATGCTCTGGAGGGAATAAATATTAAAACATCACAAGAAAATTACCTTTGCTCCTCCAGTTTCACCACCACATTTTCGGTCACCGGTTTGCCAACGCTTAGTGAACTTAGCGTAGTTCACCTATTTGCACAGCTTCCTGTTAGTCGCGGGACCGACGCCGGGCAGCCCGCCGAGCCGAGCTGTAGAGTGCAACACCGGGCTGTCTCAGTAGGATGCTTGGCGTCCTTATGGTTGCTGAGATTTGCAAGCGACATATTTAAAACTACACTTTGGTATTTTTCTTACTTGTCGATTCTGACGGAGCGTTGAATACTTCCAGGGACCATGGGTTGGTCATGTTCTTGCACGCTGTTAACCCATTTTGGTCTACAATCTGCCGTCCACGGGCTTCTCAATGTATCAGCAGAACCAAGATGACAAGTCTAGCAAAGTCTCTGAGTTTTATCAGTTTAGGAGAAGTCCAATAAACCGTTGTAAAGTGAAGGCGCCAGTAGATTATCTCACGCGTTAATTTTGCCGCCTGATTTCTTTAGCTAACTGACGTCAAAATTCGAACAGAATTAATCTCGAGGTAGTTGATGGGTTCCGTTCCAGTTACAGAAGGTAAATATAGTAATAAAACGAAGGAAACCTGTCCCTCATTAACGAGTGGTCATTATCTGGCGATTTTGTGTGCGCGTGGGGGGAGGGGGGAGGTTCATCCTCAGGGGCCCTTTCTCAACCATGCGCCCCCCCCCCCCTTTACCAAGGCTGCGGCTGCACCCCTGACATGACTATTTTATGTCGCTTCGATACACCTCAAGATGGGGTGGCTTTAGCAGCCAGCAAGTCAACAAGTGTCCCTCGTGAGGGTACAACTATCAATATCCGGTAAGCACGGGAAAACGAAGCGTGACCAGATGTGTCTGGGTCATAGGCTTGAGCATTTTACCTGCACACCAACGACGTCTGCAAGCTTACACGCATGGTCAGATGGCACGGAGAAGCCAGATTACCTGGCAAGTCACCAGGTACTGAAGGCTCGTGACAGTAGCGTAGTTTTTTTTAAAAAAAAAAACTGGTTGGTGGTGGTGGGGTGGGGAGAGGGGAAGGCACAGTTAAAAACGTCGAAACCTGTCCTCCAAATACAATAACAACTGAATTTCTTGCGTGCATTTGGTCTACTTCCTTTTCGAAACTGGATGCGTGGGACCGAAGCCCAGTTTGGGGAGACTAGACCCTCCCCCAACTGAACATGAAACTGTGCCCTGGGTGGTAACACGCGAATAGGACACAGATAGGTCCTCTCACCTCATCACCATGAGCCAGCATGACGGTGACAGCTGGCTGGAAACAACTGAGCAATGGCTGTCATAAGAAATCGATCTGACTAGATACCACCGGAGCCATTGACGCGCCAGCAAGTGGCACGTCAGGTTAAGTATTGAACTGGCCAGTGTTTATAAATAAACACGCATCCGCGGGTGGCACTGTTGCATGTTGCATGTTGCATGTTGCAAATACCGTTGGACACGACAACGCCCTGTTGGGGAGTCAATTTGACCCCACCCTGATATCCCAAAGGATGAGTGGAGAGCTAGACATCAGATCCACATGACAGATAAGGTTGTATGTGGACTCACATCTGTCAAATTTTGAGGTCTCTAGGTTGCGACCTTTGGGTAAAGCAGGGCTAAACTCCAGATCGGTGTTCAAAGTACCCTCAGACCTCCTTATGCAACCACCTTGCCAAGGGTGTTTATTTTAGGTCGGTGACCTTATTTGACTCTCAGAAGGTCAGAAGGAAGGCCAAAAGTCTGCGAGATTATTTGCATTTCTATCTCAATAAGCGTCAAGCATTTCGCTAGGTGATATGCTCCTAAAAAAACAATAAGTTTATCGGGTTCATTCTAAGTTGGTAGCCTCTCTTGACCTTCGTGAAGTTAAAGTAGCACATTTTTTGTCATCCCCATGATTTTTTTTTTGGATTAGAGCCCTTTCGACCAGAAGTAATCATTTCAGGGCTACGGGATGAAGGAAAATGGTCAGTGATGGGCGTGCGCCTGCGTGCGCCTGGCCCCCAGGCGCCTGCGTGCGCCTGGGGGCCAACCGCCGAGCTTTAACCCGCGCATGCGCGGGTACCCGGTCGGGGTCCCCCTTCCCACGGGGCTCCCGGCCCACTCGTGGCTGATGCATGCAGCCTGCCCCTGACAAGCGGGGTGTCGCGAAGATGCAGGATGAAGCGAGATAGGGGATAAAAGGTGACGAACTCATCCCTACGATTAATAAATCAGAAGTCAGCATAAGAGCTGCACCAAAAAGCAAGGACTCAAGTAAAAAAAACAACTTGGTTTTGACCTGGACCTGACTTTCATATCTAGCCCAAGGTTCATGAACTTAGTCCTAATTCTACACTTTATTGATGTTTTTTTGTTGTTGTCAAAGAGCCCATCTCAAAGATGCATCGCTTCGTCTAACATTCCGTCATCGCATCAGGCTGAGCGATCCTCAAGGACTTACCTTTGGTGACAGCCATGGTCTAACTTCGACCTGGCAGGGGCCAGTAACCTTTTAAGCCACATCTAATTTTGCAATATCAAAGGTTTAACTACTTCACTGCCTGCAGCTATGCCAAGTTTGGCGCGTCTGCGCCACACTGTTCGGAAGTCATTTTAAAAACCTTCAGTGGGGGAATTGCCCCCCCCACCCCACCCCATCTCAGCGCATGTCGACTTGATTTGCATTTTGGCCAGTTTCACTTCAGTACGTTGGAGTTGAAACAAGCTCAAGGTAATGATACTATGAGCAGTAACGGCAGATCGCCTGATTCAATCGAGAGAATGAGCAACTGCGATGCGTTCCCCATTGATTTCCGTGAAACGCCAGAAGACTCATAATGCATGTTCTGAAAGATGGGGCGGCTTTCTCCGCACCGGATTCCACCCAACGCGCTCCGAACTTATAATCGTTCAAATATTTTGAATAAATCAGCGCGACAGAAAGTTATCACGCCCTGCTTCACCCGCGATGACGAAACATGAGCCAAGACATTACGTCTGATGAGAACTGTTGGTAAGGCGCACTGTATATTGCCACCCATGAATCACAAATAACAGCTGTTGGGATACTGATCCTCTCACGTCGTTTTCCTCATGTCGCGCCATTAAACACCGTTTACACTGCTTTCACGCCCACTTTATTTGAACGCAGCATAGTCACCAGACAATGGAGCCCGGTACTATACTAAAAAAAAAAAAATGCGGCGCGAGCAAATCTATAGTACAAGCGCCAGTCTGTCTTTCCTCGTTCGACCAGCCAGGAATACGTGTACATCCCAGCTACAGTACATCGAGCGCCGCCACCTGGAGCAGTTGGAAGTCTCCTGAACATTGTACTCGCTCGGCTGCGACTGGGGTAGGAGTCGTGCTCGTCTTGGAAGCCACAACACATATCAGCGGGATATCCGCGTAAGCAGGAGACCAGCAAATAAGGACCAGCCAAGCTGCGAACCCAGCATCCGGGAACGACGTTCTGCCACCCGCCAACGCTCAAGTACAAATCACGTGGAAGCGTTCCAGCCTCCACTCCCTCAGACGGCTAGCGGTTTCAGTGAGTATCGCAAATCACCTGCGTCGCCCTCACCGCCAGCCCCGACGATCACTGCACCACCTCGAGGGCTTCCACCTGCGGAGCACTGCTCGGAGGAGGTGGCGGAGCACCCGTGCGCGAACGGACCGCGGACCCTGGAGACCAAACCCACCCGCAGGGCCCGGCAGCAGCGCAACCGCCGCCGGCCCCGCCCGCCACGGCACTACGCGCCCGTCGGCAGCTCGGTGGCGGTCGGCCGCGTGGTGCCGACGCCACCACCGCGACCGCGCCCTCGGCCATTGGCCATAATGTGCTGCATCTCCTTCTCCTCCATCGACATCTGGTACTGGAGCACCTTTTCGCGGGGCGGCGAGGAGCCGGTGGGCGGCGTGCTGCGCCGCGGACGGGGCGCCGCGGCCATCTGGCGCTCCACCCACTTGAGCATCATCAGCACAGAGTCAGTGTCGGGCAGGCGCCGGTTGGCCATGGTGCGCACCGACGACATGGCCGTGACCCGGAAGCTCACAGCCATGCCCTTCAGCACGCGCATCGCGTCTTCGTCGGTGGCGTCGTCGCCGGCGAACAGCACGCGCACACCCTCCTGCCAGTCGAGGCCGTACAGCGTGCGCAGGATGTAGATGGAGGCGCGGCCCTTGTTCCACCTGACGGGAGGGCGCGCCTCGATAGCGCGGTGCGCCATGGACGGCGCGAAGCCGTATTTGTGGAAGATCTCGCGCGCCTCGGCCACCAGCGTCTCGCACTTGTCGCTGGGCACCTGGCGGTAGTGGTAGGTGAGGATGACGCCCTTGTTCTCGACCCAAGCGCCATCGCGGCAGCACCGGTCCTGCAGCGCCTGCAGGAGGTAGCCGAGCTGGGACTCGTACTCGGACGGTACCGGGTGCACAAACTTGGTGCCGTCCGGGTGCAGGATTTCGAGGCCGTGATTACCGGCGTACGTGATGTTGCCGACGCCGACCATACCGCGCACGTCGGCCAAGCTGCGGCCCGATATGATGGCGATGTTGACAGACGAGATGTTGGCCAGCCGCTCGAGCACGCGCTTCGTCTCGACGGGGATGGTGGCGAGCTCCGGGAGCTTGGCAATCGGCGCCAGCGTGCCGTCGTAGTCGAGCAACAGCGCCACGCGGTCTGTCGGCCGGATGTAGTCCCGTAGGTACTCGTCGAAGTCCTGGATGCTCACCGGCATCAGCTGCGTTGGCCGCACACTGTCGCCGTCCTCCATCCGTAGCGTACCCATCTCCTGCGAGGGCGGACGGGGAGGGGCGGTGAGACGGCCGAACGGCCCGGGAAGGCCGGCCGCGTCACTGCGTCCGGCGGAGCCCGGCCATATTACCACATTTCGACGGATTGGCACAACAAGTGGGGTGGCACCCTGCAGGACGGAGAATGAGCCGTGACTGCAGCCTTTTCTCGGACACCGGATGCCTCTCGTCCACGACCGATGCCGCGCTGGAAGCATTTGCAGACTATAAATGCGGGCTAGGTTGCAAGCACTAGCGATAAACATGGTGTTTGCTTGCATTACGTTGAAGCCTCATGATGTTGATGGAAGTGGTACCGCCCACACGTAGCATGTTGGGAATGCCAGGCCAGTGACGCACGCGCCCGGTCAGGATATGCGGAACATAAGTTACGATAATGATGCGTGCTTTGGCCATAATGGGCAGTGGGCAGACTGCATGTGATGTTACAGCAGAGCAAGGCCACCAGCGCGCTTGATCTGTGCGCGTGAGACCTATCAATGATACAATGAATCAAGACCACTGTTGCTCATAAAAATCATGCCACCGCAAGGGCAAGTACAAATCAACTGCCGAGGCTCACGACCACGCCTCGGTGGACATCAGCGTCTGGAACGCCACAGCCCACAGCCCCCGCCAAAGTCACCGACGCCTGGCTCCGAACCGCGCCAGTGCCAGACGGCTACCTTGAGGAAGGTGCGCAGCCAGTAGGTGACGTCATGTGCCTTCTCGCGCCGGCGCAGGCAGGCCATGCGCAGTCGGCGCTCGTCCACCTCCATCGTCAACGCCCGGTGCGTGGTCTCCGCCACGTCGTCGATCTCGTACGGGTTCACCAGCAGGGCCTCCATCATCTGCGCCCCCGAGCCTGCCGCAGACGGAGGCTCGCTTCAGTAATACACCAGCAGGGCAACACGCCACCAGAAGCTGCGCACGTCACTCAGAGGGGCGACAGATCAGAAGGGCAACCCTCCAGGACGGTAGCGTGTCAACAGGGTAGCACGCCGTCAAATAAGGCTCAACAGGGTAGCACGCCGTCAAATAAGGCTCAACGTTGACAGCGCACACATCAGGAAAGCGGCGTCCCAACAGGGTGACACGCACGCGGGGTCGAGGAGCGGTGGAAGCGGCATGGTCGGCGACTCTGACGCCACCCGGATGACGGCCGGACCTGCCCAGGTAGCTGAGGCTGAGGCATGGTCGGCAACTCTGACGCCACCCGGAGAGGGCCGGACCCGCCCAGGTAACTGAGGCTGAGGCATGGTCGGCGACTCTGACGCCACCCGGAGAGGGCCGGACCCGCCCAGGTAGCTGAGGCTGAGGCATGGTCGGTGACTCTGACGCCATCCGGATGACGGCCGGACCTGCCCAGGTAGCTGAGGCTGAGATCCTGCCCAACACAGACATGGTGGAGCCCAGCGTCCACACAGACCAGCGGCGCGACGGTTCGGACGCCCGTAGTCGGCGGCCGGCCGCTGGCAGCACCCTCACCCGCGAACGGTGACAGAATCAGCACGCCCGGGTCCTCCTCGTTCTGGCACGCAACGAACTCCTTGGCCACGAGGTTCATGCCGTCACGTAGCGGGGTCACCAGCGCCACGGCCGCGTCCCGGTAAAAGCCGGCCAGCTGCTCGTGCGAGATGCAGCCGTAGATGTAGCGGATCGGCGACCACATGGGTGTGGTGAAGCGCCCGTTCACCTGGCCGATCAGCATGTCGATCTCCTCTTTCAGCTCCTGGTATACCTTGACGTCGGTACGTGACGGCACTGCCACCTGGTGGAGGAGTGGGAAGCGTGAGAACAAAGTGGCGTTTAAAACCAGTGTGGCAGGGAGCAAACAAGCTTTGCCAACTGCGTTTGGAATAAATCGTTCAACGTATGCGCAGTTAAACGTTGTAACAAGTTTTGCTATCACATTATATATATATATATAAATATATATATATATATATGTATATATATATATATATATATATATATATATATATATATATATATATGTATGTCATCTCTACGTACCAAACTTTTCAGCAGAGATCACGCAAAAATGAATTAACATGTTGGACTTTCCACTATACCGGCGCAGGGAAGAAGCTCATTATAAAACACAAAACACCATTGACAAACGAGACGGATTGAAGGCGACTTGCACAACCCTGTTGCATCACCACCATCAACACAAGAAGAGTAGTGGCAGCCGTCAGTTATTTCAGCACTAAAAGCGACGCAAAAACGTCAGCACACCGAGCCGAGACGGCGCGGCTGGTGCGGGCGCCGCACTGACCTGCAGAAACGTGACCTTGTTGATGTACTCGGGGTGTTTCTCCAGGAGGCGTTCGAAGGCGCGGATGCGATTCACGAGGCCCTTGGTGTAGTCGAGCCGATCGACGCCCAGGATGATCTGCTGAGAGTCGGCGATCTCCTGCGGTGCCGAGGCCGCCAACGTCTTGAACCGATCGTACGGGATGCCTGCGGGCCGGCCCGGGGCAGGTCACGAGCGGGTCACACCACGACCAAGGCATCGGCGCGGCGTCAGCGGGCGTCAGCTGGGCGGGTGGGTGCCTTCGATCCGCGCTGGGTGCATTGCATAGACGGGGGGGGGGGG